GTGATTGGTGTAGTATAGTAAAAAGCTGAATGGCCAATATTGCTAGGCAGGGAGCATAGGTGGGATTTCTGGAGAGAGAAAGGAAGAAGAGGAGAATCTAGGCTCACAGGAGATGCCAGGAGAGACAGAGAGGCAAGAAGAGAGGTAATGGCATGTGATAGAATGCAGATTAATATAAATGGGTTAATTTAAGTTGTAAGAGCTAGTGAGGAACAAGCCTAAGCTGTAGGCTGAGTTTTCATAATTAATAAGAAGTCTCTGTGTCATTATTTGGGAGCTGGCTGGTGGGACAGAAAAGACTTGCTACATATGGTGTCCAACATGGAAGCTCGACTATCCAAACATAGGGCCTGAGAATGCTAAGCAAAGTTCTGGGCAAGGAGCTGGATGTGGATTCCTAGTTCTGCAGTCCTCAGGTGGACCAGTGCTTTGTAGAAAAGGCAAGGTAGAAGCCTTGAGGCTAGGCAGGACATCTCTAAAGTTCATCATTTCTAACCCTTGAAGTTAAGATGCACACCAAGGACAACAAAACAACCAGCAGCTCCCATAGAAGGACATAAAGGATGGAAATGAAAAGAGAGGACGAAATGGAGCCTAAGAGACTTGGTTTCCTGATAGCTGCACAAAGACATACAAGCATACAGAGACACGGCTCCTGGCCACTACCTGCAGGCTGGAGCCAGCCGCCAGTGTCACGCACCAGGGTCATGCACCAGCACCATGTGTTAAGCCAGAGAGAGACGCAGAGGCTGGCATAACTGTTGAAGGTTTGTCTTGAGGTCAGGGAACGCTGCACCTGTGCAGAAAACTATAGCTATAACTATATTATCTTCAACTCCATCAGCTATATTATCTTCAGTTCCATCAGAGACCCAAGAAGGATATAATATTACCTGAGTAAATAGGAAGTACAGAGCAAACAAGTTCCAAAACTGTAGAAATGACAGAAACAGCTGGCTGCCTGGACAATCACCCAAGGTTCCTCTTCAATGTTGGAGCCATCCATCTTTGGCCTACAGGCTTAGAATATCTGACAGACTTTTCTGTAAAGCATGAATTTTGAAGGACTGTCCTACCTTGTCTTGGCAAAGTTTGTCAGTCATCTTCTTTCTGTCCTGTTTGTCCAGTTTGGACAGCACACTGTCAGCAGTCGAGGCAAGGGCAGTTTCTTTGCCCAGCTGTTTCTACCATTTCTATAGTTTTGGAAGTTGTTTGCTCTGTACTTTCTATTTACTCAGGTAATATTATATCCTTCTCGGGTCTCTGATGGAGATGAAGATAATATAGCTGATGGAGCTGAAGATAATATAGTTATAGTTTTCCTTGTTACCAAATTCAGAAAAGAAAATTTCATAAGAGGTATAAAGTGTATAAGGTTGAGAGACATAGAAGCTTAAATTGTTTATCTAAAAAAAATGTTTTGAGATCTAGAATGAGAGTTTTGGGTTGGTAATACAAGTTAGGATAGAAAGTGAATTAGGTACAAAACTTTGGACTCACTAAGATAGAACAGATAGTACAGTACTTTCTCTGAATTTGCCAAATACAAATGGACTAGACAGTATGAATGTAATTCTTACCTGGTAACTGTTCTTATTGTATATAGTTTTACAATGTTAGAGTTAAAACACTTCTTTCTTATTTAGACAAAAAGGGGTAAATGTGGGATATTTGTACACTGTGTGAAGATGTTTTTGCTGTGATTGGTACAATAAAAAGCTGCATAGCCAGTAGCTAGGCAGGAGGTATAGGTGGGATTTCCAGGGAGAGAAAGGAAGAGGAGGAGAATCTAGGCACACAGGAGATGCCAAGAGACATGGAGAGGAAATAGGAGGTGCAAGACGGAAGAGAGGTAACACCACATGATAGAACGCAGATTAATATAAATGGGTTGATTTAATTGAGCTAGTTAGAAAGAAGCCTAAGCTGTAGGCTGAGCTCTCATAATTACTAAGAAGTCTCCGTGTCATTATTTGGGAGCTGGCCGGCCGGACAGAGAAAGACTTTGTACAGTGGGGACACGCTGCTTCAGACAAGGAGCTGGTCCCTCCTCACAGCAGGATGAGGGCTGCTCCGGCTGGAGCGGGCAGGGAACCAGGCTTGGAGCTGGCAGTGCTCTGCGGGCATCCAGCCAATGGGCACTGAGGTTGCAGCTGTTTCATTTATGTCTCCATGGACAAACCGCACTGCAGGGGTTTCAGCTGCAATTTCCTTCACCCAGGGAGAGGCATGCCTGTTCAGACAGGTTCTGCAGCCATCTTCCCCCTGCGGCGTGCTGGCAGAGGTGTCCTGACTTTCTCTTCCTGGTTATTCGGGTTTCCACGTGTTGGGTTGGGACACAAACATGCAACTGACACCAAGAAACAAAAGCAGCTGGCTGTGATAGTACAGGGCAGCAGAGGACAGAGCTCGAGGCCAGCCCGGTCTACACAGCGAGTTCCAGGCCGGCCGTGGATACACAGTGAGAACCTGGAATGAAGAAGAAGAAAAGGGGAAAAGGACAGACGCTTTGCTGGCATCTCTGCTGCCGTGAGCTGGACAAGCTGCTGCTGTACACGATGCCCCTCTGGGCGTCGGTGTGACCACTCTGGCTGGGCGGGACCCTCCTCTGGGGTCCCGCCCTCTATGGATATTATGAGAGTCAGTGACTATGAACTGTCCCCATAGATTCATGATTTTTGGACATTTGGTCCCCAGTTCCTGGCACTGTTTTGAGAGTTTGTAGAACGTTTAGGGAGTGTGGCCTTCGTGGAGAAAGCAGGCTGTTGAGGTGGGAGGGCCTTTAGAGAATTTCTGCTCTAGCTTCCTGATCCTGCCCAAGCAGCGTTCTAGCCATGAAATTTCCGGTAACCTCTCAATTGCAAGACAAAACAAATCCACCCTCTTCTGGTCAGAGTGCTATGTCTTAGATGTGGTGTTTCTCAAACCTGTCACTTCCATGGCTTGGGCATTTCATGTATCCTTCCCTTCTCTGGGTCTGTCTGATGCTTTGTCCCCCACATCTGGAATCAGGTGTTTATCATGCAGATGTGGATGGAGGCATGAGGCAGGGGAAGGACCACTGGACTCTCCAGGACATGGCTCCTGCAGAGAGTCACAGTGTACTGCTCACCAGCACTGGACCTCAGCGGCATCTCTTCCATCCCTCAGAACTTGTCCTCCACTGCATCTGTACCGTGTTGCTATTTCCTTCAAATCGAAACATTTGCGCACATGAAACTGAGTCATTGCAGGGGAGGACCCATCAAGCTGCCAGTGAGCAAGTCAGACAGGGGAAGTCAAGCAATGCAGCTGTTGTGAGTCACCACCCAGGCTGGGGTGGCCTTGGGTGACACAGTTGCCTCTGAGTCACCCAAGCTCCTGTAAGCCATGCCAATCAACTCCCTGGCTCATTTAACCAGACTGGGGTAGAGCCAATCAACTCCCTGGCTCATTTAACCAGATTGAGGTAGAGCCAATCAACTCCCTGGTTTATTTAACCAGACTGAGGTAGAGCCAATCAACTCACTGGTTCATTTAATCAGACTTGGGTAGAGCCAATCAACTCACTGGTTCATTTAACCAGACTGAGGTAGAAACCTTTCTTTGGTCCATTATCAGTGCCCTGCCCTGTCTTGGGGAACAGACAGTTGTTCACATCTCCTCAGGAAAAGTCACACAACAGCCTATCACTGGACTGTAACTTCGGGAGCGTGGTTCTGTAGCTTCCTGTCTCTAGGGAGTTGGAGTAATTTGAAATTTGGTGTGGTTTTCTTTTTTGCTTTCTGTGTGTGTGTGTGTGTATCTTATTTTTGTTGTTGATCAACCTCATGTGCTTTCTTCATCGAAGTTTTAGGTTCCCCTATGGTGCTGTTTTGTTTTTAGGCGCTCTGCTGGTTTCTACTGTCTGCGTGCGCAGTGACTGACTCCTTTGTCCATCAGTGCCATCTTTACTTTCAGATCTGCTCCGATGCAGTCCTCCAGTCCTCGGAACTCTGCAGCACAGTGTTCCAGTTCCTCAAGAGACCCATCGCTTTCACACAGCTCTTCCTCTGGCCATGGTGCTGCGCTGAGGGCTTTGTGGTTATGGTTGAAGGCAGGTGCCTCTGGGGCTTTGCTGCAGGTCAGTGGCTGCACCATAACAAGACCACATGGAGCATAACCCACAGCTTCAGGTTTTTCAGATCTACCGAGGGCCATGAATTTGGGTGAGCCTGAGGGGTACCAGTCACACACTGTCACACGGTGCCCTTTGAAACTCTAGCACACATTCAGACTGTCTCCCGAAGATGGCTTTTCCTGGAAGCTCATGTCTTAGTCAGGGTTTCTATGGCTGTGAGAGACACCATGACCACAGCAGCTCTTATAAGGAAAACATTTAATTAAGGGGGCTTGCTTACAGTTTCAGAGGTTCAATCCATTATCATCATGTTGAGGAGCAGGCAGATGTGGTGCTTCAGGAGTAACTGAGAGTCCTACATCTTACAGACATGTAGGCCACAGAAAGCTGACTGTCACACTGAGTGGTATCCTGAGCATAGGAAACCTCAAAGCCCGCCCCCACAGTGACTCACTTCCTCCAACAAGGCCACACCCACTCGAACAAAGCCACACCTCCTAATAGTGCCATTTCCTATGAGATTATGGGGGCCAATTACATTTAAACTACCATAGCACACTAACGTACTTTTAAAAGTTTTTCTTAAAATCCCCATACAAATTTTATATAGTTTTCAAGGGGAAGATTCCATGTAAGAAGCCATTCCATCACAGTGCTGAACATTAAGTACTGGAGCTGTGGTCTGAGAGTCCTCCTCATCCTGCCTCCAAGCACAAACACTGTTTAACCATTTCTCCCCAGAAGCCAGACATGGACCTCTGTAAGAGGACAGTCCTAACTGTGGCTCATACTGAAAACTTTCAGTCACTAAATAATGTGCTGTGAGTTCGCAGAGCTGGGACCTGAGGGTAGGTTGGCCACAGGCAGAGTGACTTTGCGGAAAGTCCTTCTCGGTACATACCCCTGGGTATTTTGTATCCAGTTTCCCCTGGTTTTCTCAGATTCCTCAGGATGTGGTCTGAATGGACATTTATCACCATGCCAATTAACCACAAGGCAAAACCTAAGGAATAAACAAGATTATTATGGTTAATCACTGGCAGGAGTTAAGAAAGCCATGCTCAACTGAACAGCACACCACAATCCTTGTATCGGTGTGAGCATGAGTATGAGCCATGGCTGGCAACACCACCACAAACACCAGTGCTAGCCACAGCAATAGGCTGTTTCCTTAACCACGTTTATAGACATCTACTCTACCCAAACACTTGTGGTCTCAACCTGTGTTTTTATCATGACAGGAACAGAAAACAGACCTATGACCCGGACACCGGGGAACTCATGTGCAGGTATGTTTACCACCCCTTTCCAGAAGAAAAATATATAAGGCTGGGCAGTGGTGGCGCACACCTTTAATCCCAGCACTCGGGAGGCAGAGGCAGGTGGATCTCTGTGAGTTCAAGGCCAATCTGGTCTACAGAGTGAGATCCAGGAAAGGCGCAAAGCTACACAGAGAAACCCTGTCTTGAAAAACAAAAACAAAACAAAACAGAACAAAATTATATAATACTTATAGTGTTCTCTCCACATAAGGAGAGGCAAATAGTTACTGGCTACACCACACCCTACCCCTGAGGCACAGATCTGGGACCCTAGCTGTGGTCCTTTGCTCCCCTCCCTTTCCAGCTCTGTAGTGCATGTCCCTGACTTTCAGCCCGTCAGCCTGCTTCCAGCTCCCCAGGCAGTTCTCCTCTGCCGCTCGGCCACTCCTCCCCTCCCCTTCCATCCCCAGGGGCTAGAAACTCCATGGCTCTCGCTGGCACCCCAGCACCTAGGAGGTTCCTTTCCGGGGGATAGTTCTTCAAATCCTCAGGAGTTTCCTTGTTTGTATGAACCAGAGTGTGAGATTTTATTAAAAATATGTTCATATCTGCTTCAGCACAGAGGTTAGGAGAGAGGTTCTCAGATGTGGTTGTCATGGAAAGCATCGGCTTTATTTTCAATCAGAAAAGGCAAAATGCCAAAACTCTGCTTAAAAAAAAAATGACTCTGATACAAAAAGTCTGATTTTTCTGAGATACTAAAAATGTGAAGGCCAAATAGTGTTGCAACTGTTATCAGTGCAGGTGCATTGGGAAAGCATCAAACCTTTGACTCATTGCCCAGCCATGGGATGCCCTCATAGTACACAGACCCTTTGGAGCAGGCTCCTGGGTTTCTTCATCCTGACTCTGCCACCAGGCATATCATTTTTCCCCTAAACATATCAAATGCCATGACAAGGTTTATTGTATCCTGGTAACTATAATGGACTCAGTAATTAACTTTTGGTCTTTAGACGTTTACACGATTTACTTGTTTTAGCTTTTAAATAAAGTTACAAAGAAAATCAGATCGTCAGGATCCCATATTTATTTACCCCATTTCCCTTCTGAGAGACTAGCTTTCCTCTAGGCTGAGATGTGAAGAAAACTACCATTTGTGTGCATCCAAAATACACAATGAATTTAATTTGTGGGACTTAAGAAGCATATAAAGCCTTTAAAAATGTATCTGTGATGGCTAAAATTGGATTATCAACTTGATGGGATCCAGAAGCACCCAGGAGACAGACTTCTGGTCACGCCTGCATGGGTTAACTGGAGTGAGACGATCTACTCTGAATGTGGGCAGCACCATCCCATGGCCTGAGGTCCTGGATTCCATAAAAGGAGAGAGCCTCCTTGCACCAGGGCTTCACAAAGTGTCTCAGCATAGGCACTGGGCTCCAAAAAGCTGGTTCATGCACTAGGGACGGGTCCCGATCACACTGCCTGGGGGCCCCCTAAACAGTTCAAGCTAAACAACTGTCTCGCTTATCTGGAGGGACTAGTCCAGTACCATGGGAGCTCCTCGGCTGTTGGTCCACAGTTCATGTGTTTCCACTAGTTTGGCTAGTTGTCTCTGTACTTTTTCCCGTCACGGTCTTGATGTCCCTTGCTCATAGAATCCCTCCTCTCTCTCATCGATTGGACTCCTGGAGCTAGTGGACCTGTCTCAACTGAATGTACCAGGCTCTGCTGACTCCCCATGGAAGACATTGCCTTGGAGGAGGTGGGAATAGGGGGTGGTTTGGGGGGGAAGGCTGGGGGTGGGAGGAGGGAGGATGGGGGAATCTGTGGTTGGTATGTAAAATGAATAGAAAATCTCTTAATAATAATAATAAATAATAATAAAAGCAGCTGTTAAAAAAAGGGAAAAAGCCAGAAGAATAAACAAACACACTCACCTCTCTCTGCCTCCTGACTGCTGACACAACATGACCAATGACCTCATGCCCCAACCACAACAATGCCTTCCCTCACACAACGGACTGTCCTCTCCAATCATGACCTTTGTTATAGCAATGAGAAAAATAAGCAGCTGAAATGGGAACCAGGGTATTCCTGTCACTGGGGCAAACTGGTCACTGTGACCACCAGGTTCCTCTGAGGTGGAACTGGTTTATAGCAGGCGTGTGGAGCAGTTGGAACTTCATGTGAAAAACGTCGTAGAATGATGTAAGCAGGGCTTAATGGCCCATCCTGATGGGAGTTCAGAAGATCATAATTCCAAAAGAAATACGGACAGTGGAGACTCGTCTCATGCTGTCTCAGAAGGGAACACTGGTCTGTCAGGAACTGGACTAGAAGGAACTTGTGACACCTCGGTGAAGATGGGCAGCATTCTACCCATGTCCTGAGAACTAGAAGGAGGCTGGAGTCAAAGGAGGTGGGCTAATTTGTCGGTGGAAGAAATTTTAAGAGAGGAAAGCATCTAGGCTGTGGCTTGGCTACTGCTCAGAAAGTGGAGTAACAGAGATGAAAGGCGTGCCATTTGCTGAAAGAAAGAGGCGGGAGTGAGCCTCTGGATATGTCTGTAAGAGGGTTCCTGGGTATGCAAGACCTCTGGAGGGCTAGGGGACAGATAGACCCTAGGAGCCCAGCTCTGGTCCTCTCCTTCCCTTCCAACTCCAGCTGAGGTGGGAAGATGCACCCTGAATATGGGTGGCACCTTCCACGGGCTAAGGTCATGCATGAGCTTAGTAAAGAGAACGCGAGCTGAGCTTCATCATTCATCTCTCTCCATGTCATGACTGTGGATGCAGCGTGGCCAGCCACCTCACGCTGCCGCCGCCGCTGCCACCGCCACCACCACCACCACCACCACCGTACCCTCCCTGTCATGATGGGCTGCGCCCTCAAACCCTGATAACCCTTCCTCCCTTTCGTCTTGTATTTTGCCACATCGAGGAGAATAAAAACTGAGACATTATCAGAGCTAAAATGGAGCCACTTTTGCCAAGCCTTCCCTAAGATAAATAAGTAAATAGAGCCGGGGGAGGGGATGCACATGTACATGTGGGAACAGCAGAGCTGGGGGAGGGGATGCACATGTACATGTGGGAACAGCAGAGCTGGGGGAGGGGATGCATGGATACATGTGGGAACAGCAGAGCTGGGGGAGGGGATGCATGGATACATGTGGGACCAAGCACACAGGTTCTACCAGAACCACAGCCTTACCCAGCAGCCACGGAAACTTCTAGGAGAAGGTGTCCGTAAGGGGTCTGCCTCAGAAACAGTTAACGCTGACTAGATACCAATTTGTTATCTTTGTAAATAGCTTGCACATCCCCCTTCATTTTACTCTTAAGCCTTCCCTTTGCCTCTCAGCCTCTTTGACTGGCAGTCTGCAGCAGGCTGTGCATTTCCACAGTGATGCCCTTCTACCCCCAGATGTGCATCACTATGTTTGAGAGACTCTTCCTCGGACTGTGGTGGCTTGGGGTGGCAAAACTTTCAGACTAACCACTTTTGCTGCTAGGGGAAATTTTTTGTTAGCATCTTGTTCCTGGCAGTAACTAGCTTCAGGACAAATATCTATCCACACAGCTTCCTCTCTCCTCACACAGCAATGCACTGAACGGTGATCTCCACATGACAATGAGGCAGTCTAGGGCTGCACACCGCAGGAAAACATAATGGAATCTAGCTACTACGACCTTTCCGAAGGTCAAGCCATGGCTTAAGAAGTCTTGGTGATACTTTAGCTTTTGTATATATATTAGCCGATTCCTACAATGATTTTTTTTTTTGTATGCTATGTGTGGTTCAAAGAACTCCTAACAGTGTATTTATCTAAAATGCCTATCAAGCATCCAAGGCCAAATGATCTCCTGAACTAAGGTAACACCCTATTGGAAACAACGCCTGTCTCCTAGGTCAAGTGGATAGCTTTATTTCTTGTGCAATTTAAGCTGAGACCCTCCTTTCTTATACAGCCTTACTAACATTATAGACTCCTAACATTTTTACCTAACCACTTCTAGGAATGTAGATTGAGCACATATATTCCCTTTTTGATATCCTGGAAGCAGGCTAGGACGCATACAAATAAGTTTGCTTTACAGCCTGCCTCCTGGTGGGTCTTCCTAAAGCTGTCCTCAAGTCAGCAAATTATCAACAAAATTCAAGACATGGAATAAAATCCGTCTCTTGTTTACCAGAGCTCCCTGGGATTAGGGCTAACATTTAAGCATCTGGAGAGCAAGGCTCCTGACCCCACAGGCGGAAGTTTCAGCTGTGGCATTTAAGGTGTGCCATGAGAGAGATGAGAAAGCCATGAACAAAACTGCCAAATGCTGGCACATGCTATCCAACCAGCTTCCCAAAAGCTGCCAGGTCCCTGTTTTAAGTGCGGGAAAGAAGGCCACTGGGCTAATGCGTGCCCTGCTGGGCTATCAACTGAGTCTTGTTTAAAGTGCCACCTAGAGAGATAACTGGTCAGCTGACTGCCTTCATGCACCCAAGGGCATGGGGACATCAAACTAAGACCTCCAGCAGACCTCCTAGGCTTGGCCACGGGCTCACAGGGAACCCAGAATGCAGCATGGGGGTGAGCCGTTTCCTTCCTGTTGGATACTGAGCCATTTAATCAATCCTGAGGGAGTTTTGGGGTACCACATCTCCTTCTCATTTCCCTATTATTGGGGTAGGGGGACAGCCTTACTACATACCTCACCAGACTTAACTGTACTTTCAG